CCCCACTCCACTAAATGAGGAAATAGGGGAAGCCCCTTGACCCTGCAGACATTAACATGGTAACGGTCAAAAAGTATTTTTCCCACTAATTGCCTCCAGATCAGAGTGTCACTCTGAACTGAGTCAGCACCAGTCCCTTAACCACAACTTACATATCCTCCCTGCTTTCTCCTTCAATATCTGGGCTTGCATAACATAGATAAGAACTCTATAAAATCTGTTGGGTTTTTACCAGTTCTGATGCCATTTTCTATGAGGCACCCTTGCAGATCTGATCTGTTTCCACTCCTTCTGATCTCCTATTCAGTCATTTCAGTTGTATCTGACTCCTTGGGACCCCATTTGGGATTTTCTTGGCAAAGATACTGGAGTGGCTTGCCATTTCCATCTCCAGTTTATTTTACAGATGAGGAAACTGAGGCAAACAGGATTAGTGACTTGCCCAGGGTCACATAGCTAGTAAATATCTGAGGCCAGATTTGAATTCAAGTCTTCCTGACTCCAGGCCCAGCATTCTATCCATGGAACCATATAGCTACCTCTGAAAGGAGATTGATATCCCCTCTTTTACCGCATCTTGGGATCCTGAACTTCATTCATACTTCATTAAGGCACATGTCTATACCAACAAGCATTGATTAAGTGCCTACTATGTGCTAGATGCATGCACTAGGCACTGGAGATATAAAGAATGAAACACTACCTACTCTCAGGGAGTTTACATTCTAATACAATTTATGTTGATCACAAGTATCTGGTGACACTTTTTCTAAGGACAAACCCATCATTTTAATTGTGATTGTGTATGCAACACTGGACTCTTTTGGTCAGCACTTAGGATTATATACTTATCTGAAATGCTGAAACAGCACAACAGAATGCTGATGCTTGGCACTATCTGCCAGTACAAATCCAGAGGAAATATCAGTGTGAGATTTCTCTCAGTCCCCTATTCTGACTGATAAAATTATGTGACTAGCTAGCTGCCCAGGCTTTCAGATTGACCTGAGCCTTGAACTATGTGTGGAGGGTAAATCCTGTAGAGAACTTATCAAAGGATGAAAATTATTTACCAGCTATTACCCTGCAATATCTTCCCCTAAAAGGTGTCATTTATGAATAAATCACAATGTTATTCCAGAAGGTAGTTGTCCCATTATCTTGACCATGTAAAATATTTGGGAATTGTTCACATAAAAGCATTTGTTAGAAGCTATATTTGGTGACCTAGTGTAAAAGTGGGGCTCCACCCCACCCCAAGTAACCAGAGGCTCTAATTGTTCTGCTGATTCAATCAATAAACCAATCAGAAGTGTGAACAAGTTCTTAATCCATTTGAGAGGAATAAAGTATTTTGATCATTGGTTAAAGACAGATGACACCACAAAAGAAATAACCTTCTAAGTGGCTGATAGAAATCAGACACACCCTTGGGTTACAATTTAAAGCAGCAAACTAATTTGGAGTCAGTCAGAAGAGTGGGAGATGGGGTGGGGTGTTGAAATTCAGCAGTGAGAAAATGGATTATCCTAAGGGAAAAGGGAGCAAGAGAAAAGAGTTTCTCTCTCCCTTTATCTTCCCCTGACCTCCGCTATCGACCAGTGAAGATCTTAGGAACTTTGAAAGTTCAGAAGATCTAGAGTTCTTAACAGTGGTCCCAGAGCAATGGTGGCTGATGGCAATGTCTGAATCAGGAGCTGAGTGACACTGTGGACAAATTAGACACACTAAGGAAAAGTAGCTTCAGCGATCATTACTCTTTGAGAAGAAGAGAAGTGCTTGCTATGGATCCTACAAAGATACTGACCCTTGGAGCCCAGCAGAGTGCTAAACCTAGGAGGAACTAAGGGAGAAAGAAATGAAGGAAGAAGAGGTCACCTAGTGACCAGGATGTGTGAGTTACCTCTTCCACATGTGTTCTCTATAATGTATCCCATTATCTTTTTGCTTCAAATTTTAGCTCAATCTTCCCAGAAACCTTGTGTTAGGGAGGTGAGAGTGTGCACCCCAGTTTGGAGAGACTGCTTTTGTAAAAGTTGTTCTTGCTATACCTGCTTATTAAATACTTTTTCTAAAAGTCTAGCTAATAAGCATTGGGAAGCACATTGGGGAGGGCTCATGAATAATCATACTAGAAATGTCTGACCTCTCAGGGTTGTTCCTCTAGAAACATGAAGGGAGTAGTAATAGTAGGTTTCCTTGGTAGATATGGCTAGCAATGTGAATAGTAGTTGGATAAGTAGCTTAGAGGGGGTTCTACACTAGAACTGATTCAAATATTGAAAATACTACGAGGCAGTGTAGTACAAGCAAAGGTGCTTGGCATAGGCTACTTTATTGCAGCAGTGATCAAGAAGCCTTGGACAAAAAAAAAAGTTATATTGGTTTTCTTTGTACTGGTAGACTCCTTTTCAAAGTGTCTTAAATTATTTCCAATCTCATCTCATATCTTTGCTGCAACAATCATAGCTTCATGTCAGTTATTTTCAAGATATAAAATGTTAGATGCTATTGTTTCTGACATTGGATTCACAGATAACTCCATGGAGCTTACCCTTCCCACAGCTGTCACCATCATGTCACCCTTAACCCAATGATCAGGCTGAAAGGATGTCACACACCATTAGGGATGCTCTGAAGTGAACTGTTGGAGGAAATTTCCCCAAACTTTGCAGGTTTGTCATCACCCAATGTGTCACTTCTCATACAACAATAGGAGTGAGTCCTGCTCAGTGACTAATATGGTGGTGTCTCAAAAAGTTCTTTGATCAGCTTCAACTAGATGTTCCTAATGACTTATATGACAATCTAAGAATGTATTCTGAAAGCCCTCTTCATCTACTTTTCACTGATTTTTAGTCAAAATGTGCTAGTCCAGTTGTGCTAAAAACTATGAAGATGTATTCCTGCCACTCTAGTTGAATTCAAGTAGCCTATATTCTACCAGATCCAGAATGCACCTGGATTAGTGCAGAATCACCATTTAGTTACAACTACAAAATCTTCTTTTGTGATGATTTTTCCAATATTAGAACCATTTTAAAGAGCAACCAGGAATGATTATTTTTTTAAAGTTGTATCTTGAAAGAAGATACAGTGCAACTATGTAGTAAAAGAAGTAAGGATTCTTCTCTAATGATCCAAGTGCTACCTATTCTACATAGTGGCTTCTTCCCAGAGTCTATCTCCTTTCAAAAATCTAAAGACAGTCTGGAATGGCATGACTTCTTTCTTTAAGCTCAAAGCCAGAAGACCAGGATCTCTTCTCTTCTAGTTCCTGCAACTCCACTTTATGAGAATAAAGCATGTGACACTGAGTATTCAATCTCCACCAATGAGCTTTGAAATTTGGGTTACATTGGCTAAAAAAACTTACTATGTATATTTAGTTTGTAGAGAGACATAAATATGAATAAATGAAGTCTAAAAATGTAAACAAATGGGATGTGGCATTTACCTCAGTTGCAGAGAGGAAATTATTTTTTTTTATTCCATAAAAGGAAGGAATTGTTTCGAGCAAGATAGATGTGCTTGACTACATTAACATTTAAAAAATTCTGTACAACAAAAAATGTAATTATAGAAAAATAACATTTTAGGAAAATATTTTCAGTAAACCTGACAGATTAAAAGCATGATATATAAAATATATTAGGAATCATTAAAAGTCACTAATATTAAAAGTATTAGTAAGTCACAGTAGGAGATGAATAGATGGTTATTAACCTTTTCTGTTTCCCCTTTGATAATCATTTGAATAATGTTCAATCTTACTAATGATCAAGGAGACACAAATTAAAATAACTTTGAGGTACTACCTCACAATGATTATACTGACAAAGAAAAAAGAAATTAAATCCAATGCCGGTAGGGTTGTGGAAGAACGGGTACATTTATTTGTTACTGATGGAACTACAAACTTGTCAGATCTTTTTGGAAAACAATCTGGCAGTACACAGTTAAAGTTATAAAAAAAATGGCCATACCTTTTGACTCAATTGTTCTGTTGTTGGGAATATGCTCTGAAAGTTTTATCAGAGATTAAAAAGCTATTTTTTCAAAGTTTTTAATAGCAGCATTATATATAATTAACAAACTGGAAGCAGCCTAAATATCCAATAGTGGAATGGTTAAAAAATGTGGTTCAGTAGTGGGATGTAATTAAGTCTGACAAGTATGAGGAATACAAAGAAATCTGAAAACGCCTATATGCAGTAATGCAAATTGAAAAAAGCAGAACCATTAGAATGGAGAATACATTAAACGTAATCATATGAAGAAAATAAAATGAAAATGAATAGACAAAATGAATGGATTCAGGAATTAGAGAGGTATTGGGAGAAAGGTTACAAAATTTTGGGCACTGAAATTAATTAATTTTAATGTAAATCATTACCAAGCAAGTTTAATTGTTTGAATGAACAATTCAGTTTGTTAGCATTCATGTTTAATGCTGTTTCTAATAAAACATTTTTAAAAATTAAGTATTTATCTACACAACACTATTCTGATTATATTCTGAACTGAAATTTTTCTCTGTATATAATCACCCGTAGTATGCTCTCAAAGGTTGTTGTCCTTTGTTCTGGAAGAGGACCAAAATGACATCACTCTGTTGGAGTCAAGGTGCGGTGTGTCTGACTGTGGCTGATCAGACCAATGTGAGTATGGAAGGTCCGACCACAGGTCAGGCACAAATAGTCCACATGAACATTTGGATTGGAGATGTCTCTAAATTTGTGCAGCTTACATTTCTTTTGAGTTACTTCAATTCTGCTTTGCCCACAGAGCACAGCACCTTCATTGGTGTGGGCATGCCATGCTGGGAGGTCCTTTGCCAGTGTCTCCCATGTCATGCAATCAATTTTGAAGTCCTTCAGAGAGACCTTGAAAGTGTCCTTGTATCCCTTCTTCTGCCCTCTGTGTGAGCACTTGCCTTGTGTGAGTTCTCCATAAAATAGTCTTTTAGGCAAACATACATTTGGCATTTGAACAAATTGGTCAGCTCATTGGGGTTGTGCTCTCTGCAGTAGAGTTTGAATGCTTGGCAGTTCAGCTTGAGAAAGAACCTCGGTGTCTGGTACCTTTTCTTGCCAGGAGATCTTCAGAATCTTCCTAAGACAACTCAGATTGAAGTGATTCAGTTTCTTGGTGTGATGCTGATATACTGTCTAGGTTTCATAGTCATACAACAATGGGGTCAACACAACAAAAAACTGAGTAGGATCTCAATAAGTATTTATTGAATGAATAACACTTTTCTTGTCAAATAAATTCAAAGTATATAAAGAACAGGGTACTGGTCTGCTGGTTGTATTTGAATTGTATGCATGTGTGTCCCCACTAGCCTTTAAGCCCCATGGGGGTGTCCCTTATGTCACCCTGCAGAGTACTCTGAACACAGTAGGTACTTAATTAATGTTTGTTGAATTCTATTCTCTTGTACAGAAAAATAGAGAATTCTATTCTCTTCTAGAATTTAGTGTACTACTCTGCAGTAAATGCTTAAAAAAGCACTTGTTGCTATCACTACTAGGTCTGTATCCTAAAGAGATCAAAGGAAAAGAACAGAAGATTGATATAGACAAAAATATTTATAGCAGCTCTTTTGGTGGTGGCAAAGAATTAGAAACTGAGGGGATGGCCATCAATTGGGAAATGGCTGAACAGGTTATGTTTATGAATGTGATGGAATACTAATGTGCTGTAAGACATGACAAAGGGAATGGTTTCAGAAAAACCTAGGAAGATTTGCATGAACTAATGCAATGTAGTGTGAGCAGAACCAGGATAATGTTGTTCACAGTAACAACAATACTCAAATGTAAAAGACTTAGCTACTCTGATCAATACAATGATCTACAATGATTCTGAAGAACTTGTGATGAAAACTACTGTCCAGCTACAGAGAGAGAACTGATGAACTTTGAGTTCATCACATCTTCTTTACTTTAACTTTCTTGCTTCCCATCCTCCCACAACATGCCTAATGTGGAAATGTTTTGCATGACTTCATATGTATAATGGGTATCATATTTCTTGCCTGGGGGAGGGGCTGGAGGGAAAGAGAAAATTTGGAACTGAAAATAAAGAAATTGAAAGAAAAAGAACAAAAAAGCATTTGTTAAATGGAAGGATGAATGAATGAACTTAGATCTCCCCTCTGGCTTAATATGATCATGTAAAGATGTGTGTGTGAGTATGAAAGTTGATAAAGGTGAGTGATAGAGTGAGTATGGGCTTTGTATGCACTTATATCTGTGCCTGTGGGTTTACTTGTTAGAATGTAAGCTCCTTGAGGACAGGGACTGTTTCACTTTTATCTTTCTATCCCCAGTGTGTAGTATAGTGCTTACTATAGAACATATTCTTAATACATTCTTGTTGTTTGATTGAGTGATTGATTGCTTACACAGCTCTCAATATTGTTCCCCTGGTGTATCAATGACTTGGGTTTACGTGATCATGTGCTGAGTTCAAATTGTTTATTTCCAGCTCATCCTCTAATTCTATCCAAATGAATTCCCCATAGCTCTGGTGAAAGTAGGACTACCATTGTTTTGTTTTTAACTTTGAAAATTAAATATTGCTCCTCACGGAAGGATTTCTGACTTCCGTTGTGGGCACACACTGAGGTAAAAGGAATTGGTCCCAGAAGATAGTATGAGGCACACAGCAATAGCTGTGCCAGTGAACACTCAGATAGTTGTTAACGAATTTCCTCTTAATGTTTCTTATGTTTGAACAACAGAGCAGGTTGCCAATGTAGACTTTAACATGGTTTAACTTAGAAGACACACATGAGAAAGACCTCTCTGATTGCCTTCTCTGGACCAAAGCACTCAAACAGAGAGGGAGAGCAAAAAAGGCCGTTGAGGACCCCAGACCATCACAGTTGTGCTGAGTCACTGTGTTGAAACTCCTGTCCCATTTCTGCCATTCTCTTACAGTTGTTCAATTTGAGTGGGTAGAATTATTGGGCCAGTCTAAGAAAAAACACTAATTTTTTAAAAATTGCTGCATAACACTCTGTAGCTATATATAGAGAAGCTATGCTCTATTCAAAGTACTCTATGAGCCTGCATCCACTCAAAAAGCATAGGTCATGAGCTCCCACAAATTGGCTTACTTTCACTAGTTAGCCAGAGGACACAATTTGTTTATAGAGAAGGTTTTTAATGAAATAACATAATAACAAAGATGGCAATAGAGCATTTCTATAAATACATATGACAGACATCAATGGACAGAATAAACACACCTGAAGAACATGTAGGAAACACCTTTACCCAAGGTGTGCATACAAAGGGACAAAACACATATTTGATGCTACTGAATCTGTGACATCTTCTGCTAATGTCATTATGCTACTTTCCCTGGATCTGTTCATCACTAGGAATGTAGCTTCTGCCATGTGTCAGGCATTACTCCCTAATGGTGTCTCATGGATTCTGCTGGGTTATGCTCCAATGATTTTATGGTTGTACTTAAGTGTAGGGAGAATACATTGTACTCTCTAAATAGTTGAATGGCTGCAAATTTCTATCTTTCTTGGGCCTTAACTTCCTTAATACTTCCTTCCATTGCTACAGAGAGAACACATTTCCATAGATGGTAGCTGAGATGACTTGTTATGCTTATGTAATCTATAGCAGCACCTGAAAAAAGGGCCACCCTCCTACAGATGTCACTGGTTTCAGACTGGGAAGAACCTAATCCAGGCAACATCTTGGGCTCTTAGAGACTTGGAGAGGGCTTGTAGTCTAATCACAACCTAGAACCATATAATTTCAAGGTTGAAATAGACCTTTCAGAATCAAGAAAATTATAGGGTAGGAAGAGACCACCTACTCCCAACCCTCAATTAGGGAAATGGATAGGGAGATGTTCCTGTGCTGCTACTAAAGAATGCCACTTTGACTTTTCTCCCCTGTAGTCAGGTTATATCTGCCCCTCAGGGTTCTAGGGTATCCTAAGTATTTGGGATTGTCTTTTCTCTACCCTCAGTTTGAGCCCTTAGCAACTGTAAGGGGCCACTGTTAGGGGCCAAGGATGGGCTCTCCAGTCCCATTTAACCACTTAATATCTATTAGCTTTTACAAAAGGATATTAACTTAGAAGATATAGCATGAACAAACATATAAATATTTACTCCCAATATCTCAGTGGCATACTCTTAAGTTCCTACATTCCTACATAGCATTGGTTCCGCCAAGTTTATGTCCAAATGATGCATGCTTGTTAGATAAGTCCCTATTCTAACTTCTTCCACTGCCCTGGGTCCTGAAGGCCACTCCTTGTAGCCATTCCTGTGGCTACTCTTTAGAATATCAGTGTTGAGCTGGTTAAAACTCTACTTGGACTCTGACTCTTGACTTTTTGTGAGTCACTCTCCTGATCTAAGATCAGAGGCTATATTCCCTTCACCTTGAATAGAAAAGAAAAAATTCAGAGCCCAAGGACCAAGATCTTTTCATAGGACCTCATGGCCTTTGAAGGGAGAAAGCCCCAAGGCCTCTCCTCTTATAGCATTACTTCTCACCAAATGAAAGTGGAGTCAGACCACCAAAGCCCAGCTAAAACAAGAATGGCCTAAAAGCTAGGTCAAGGGGCAGCTAGGTGGTGCAGTGGATAGAGCACTGGCTCTAGGGTCAGGAGGACCTGAGTTCAAATCTGGCCTCAGACATATAACACTAACTAACTGTGTGACTCTGGGCAAGTCACTTAACGCGTCCTCCCCCCCCCCAAAAAAAAAAGGCAAGCTAGGTCAAGACTGACCTGGAGTTTTGAAGATGCTAGCTATGACGTCAATTGAAAATTATTCTTTTCAATAAAGCTAGTAGACTGGCTCCTGCTGTAGAATGACTACACATATGCCACAGTCTAAGACACCTTCATCTATTCTACATTATCACAACTATACTGGAAGAAGGTTCCTCAGTCTCTTCATATGGAAGATACCATCTGAGGCTTTCTGAGTATTCTCCAAACCCCTGTTACACTACATTGTAGTAGATTATTTCCTGCTGACTCAACTTCTTGGCTAAGGCTAATCCTTGAGCAAGTTTTCAGTGAATTCTTCACTGGAGGAGGAAGGTAGCAATCTAGGTGAAACTGCAGGAGTGCAGAACAAAAGTCACCAACTCCAGCCCACCTATCCAGTATTGCCAAGTAAAGCTCTCAAATAATTCTAATAGCCCTGGTCATAGTTGTCAGGGTATGATGGAAAAGGAATGTAATCACTCAAATGAAAATATGCAGAGGGCTCAGATGAATTCCAACCAAGAGAGAAGCAGAATGAGACAAAAAAGATGGACTTTAGCTAAGGGTTTTCCAAGCTCTAGAGTGCTATCATATATGTGATTAATAAAAAAGGAAACAAAGTCCTGAAGCTAAGGGTGGGTTTCAAAAGAGCTATAAACACACCCCAGATGGAAAGGCAGCTAGGTGGTGCAGTGGATAGGGTGCCAGACCTAAGTCAGGAAGATTCATCTTTCTGAGTTCAAATCTGGCCTCAGGTAATTACTAGCTCTGTGACCCTCAAGGTAAGTAACCCTGTTTACCTCAGTTTCCTCATCAGCAAAATGAGCTGGAGAAGGAAATGTCAAATCACTCCAGTATCTGCCAAAAGAATCCCAAAAGGGGTCACAAAGAGTCAGACACAATTGATGGAAGAAGGTTCCCAAAGGCTCTAACACAATGGAGAAGCTATAGAAGGAATTAGCAGATAAGTGGAAAAGCAGCAGTAGGGAGCTTAGTGAAAAAAAAGATACCCAGCAGATGACATCAGAAGCACCCTGGAGAAGCAATAAAGGACAGGTTCAGGCATGGGGATGTTATCTAGCTTGGATAAAGCTCTGGAAGTATGAGCTGCCCAGGCTACAAGGGTATCCTCTCCCACAAGCAGCATAGGAATCTATGAAAACATATAACTCCTATATTAAGTGAGGGATGATTTCCTTATTTCTCTTGCATTCCATAGTAGGTACTCCATAAAAGCTTATTGAATAGAATCTTAAGTAAATGCCCATTGCTTTGTTATGATTTCATGTTTTATTCTGATTTAGTGAGGAAATATAGTGGATCTGGGGCTCATAAGCTCTGAGATGGAAGAATACTCCTTGAGTACCATATAAAGTAGGTCTCAGGTGTGATAGGATTATATTCAAAG